AGAAATCTCCTCTTTACCTATCCAATCTCCTCCCTTCTGTACAGGTATCTTTTATCAGTACCATTTGCATTAACTTCTTCTATTTTTTTTGTTTTGTCAGTCTACCCATATCTTGAAATAAAAGCAACCTTTAACAAAAGTGACATCCAAAACTACAAAATTCTCTCTCTCTCATACACACACACACACACACACACACACACACACACACACAGAGTAGAACCTGGTTTCATACTCAGGGGTCACTCTCAGTGGTGCTCGGGTTATCAAGTGGTGTCTGGGATGGAATCGGGGACTCCCACACATTATGTGGGAGTCTACTGGACACAGTCCACTGGACCATCTTTCCAGTTCTGAAAAAGAAAAGTTCTAAGAATTCTATCTTATTAGTATATCCACAGTAATATAACATGGTTTCATGGGATTATTGAAATAACTAATTTTTGGATTCAGAGCAAAGATTAAAGTATTTAAAAGTTTAGGAAGTAAGTTCAATCAAGGAAAAGACTAAAAAATGCTGGCAAGATTGAAAAATTGAGATTTTGTATGAGAGAATCTTATTAAGAAATGAAAGCTTTGTTGACTACAGAGCTTTATATGTACCCTATAATAGGGCGGGTCTGATACTTTAACTGTATTACCAAAAGTAAGCTTCCTAAATTATTGCAGTCATAGATTCTCTTTTTTGGCTAGTCCAAATCTGGAACAAGTTTCCATTCATGTACACATTTCAAGAGTAATATTGGAAAAGAGAACACACAAAGATGTTTTGAGGAATGAACCAAAAGAACAACTGCATTCAGATACCGAAAAGCAGTTTTCTAAAATAAAAAAAAAAAGCATTCATCCTGTGTTTCTCAAGAAGGCAAAAGTCAGAGCAGAACACAAATGTCATAAAGAGGAAGATTCAACCTCAAAAGAAGAAAATATAGCAGCATTTGTTGTTAGGGAGGTCCCCATCACGGGGTATATAGACAGAGTCTGGAGTTCTACGGAGGATAATTCGAGTTTTCTATAAGCAGGAAGGCTGTGTCTAGTCAATTCTACACGTCTGTTTTCTATTCACACCTAAAAAGCTTCTGAGGGTAGCCTTCTATTAAATGATACAGGGCGTGCTGTCCTCAACGATGACCTCAATTCACACAAAAAATACTCAACTGTGATAAGCTCATTGTGGTTGGTGCTGTAAAAGCTTGCCGGGGAGTGCTTTCTAGTAGTTGACTATATTAACACAGGATCAGAGCTGGCCGGAAGATCTTGGCTGACAGGTGGGACTATCCAGTGCCTATTAGAAATGCAGGATTCAAGATAGATACCGCAGATGGAAAGGAATTCATCTCCAGGGAAGAGAGAGTCAGCTCGATCAGCCAGTCTTCTCTACAGTGTTCCAATTATCCCCTGATAACTATGAGTGGCATGTCTTACCTATGTTTGTTTTCCAACTTTCTGTGAATACACAAATTCCTTAGGGAAATGGGGTTTGTGGACAAAACCTAGAAGAATGGGACTGACAAAAAAGTGAAACTTTGGAATTCCAAACAAAAATACTGCTTTAGTGCCCATATGATACACACCACAAAAGGGAGACATTCTTTCTGTTTCTGTTCAGAACGCAGACTTGTCTCCTTCCAGGTTCCAAGAACACAGTGCCACCCTTTCCTATAGAGGGGTTTCTCCCATCAGCACTGCCTATGACAGCCCTGGGATAAGTACCTGGAAGGCAACAACTCAGCTGTATTCAATGGCCAAGGAATTTCATTTATTTTTGCATGCAGTGGGGGCCTTGGCCAGGACTTCTTTATTAGCAACCAGATTTATCTTGGTGATTTCTAGCTTTTTTTTTTTTAAAGTAGGGGATGAAATTCGAGTACCATTTCTTCCCGTGAAGGTGAAATTAGTAAAAAGCCATTTCCAGAGTGACCAGCTCCTGACCGTAAACAACTTGTGTTTAACACCAGAAATCCTCAGATGCGTCTTCCACGGAGAGGTGGGATCTGTGTTTCTCACCTTGAATTTGGGCTGGACACAGTGACTTACCTGTCACTACTAAAATGCAGGAGAAGTGAGGCTTACTGGAAACTACTAGCATCTGGATCTAAAGTTTATGCAGCCATACTCGGAGGAAGCTCATGCCACACAAGAGAGTATGTTTCAGGATTCTGGCTGAGTGCCTCAGCTGAGATCTCAGCTTCCACCAACAGACAAGTGAGGAAATACGCCTCCAGGAAGTTCCAGTGGCCACCCAGTGAGACAGCCACGGGCACCGACTCTGGAAGCTAAGGTCAGAGACAGCCCAGTGATAAGCCCCGTCTACTGTGCCATGTCTGAATTCTGACTGAGAGGATAACTTTATATTGTGTGCGGGGTATAACTATAATCTTTGATTAGGATGATAGGTAGGTAGGTTGAACCAGCATCATTACCACTCTCAATTTCTACGTTTAACCAACAACAAACTGGGATTTGAGCTTCCCTGCTTTGATATTATATAGCCAAGATGTGGCATGCTGATAGGAAATTCCTGATCTCTGGGCTCCGGTTGATACCTTCTCTATATTGTCCCATTCTGGATACTGGTGGACTTTTTTTTTAAGTAGGGAAACCAAGTAAGATACATATAGAATCGGAAAGTTAGAAAACGTTGTGAGCAAGGTACCAAGGATAAATAGTAAGTGGATGACATCAGTCATCCATTTCATTACAGAAATAATCACGTAAGATAAGATCTACAGTTAGTTGCTGACAAAGGCTATCATTTAAAGTGGAACCTGTGCGGGTGGGGTGGGGGGAGGGAGGGAATCTTAGGGCTTTTCATGTTATTGAGGAAGTGTTCGAGTGATGTAGAAGTTTGAGGCTGATTTAAACAATGAAATAGGGCTTGGTAGAAGACTGCAAGCACTGCCAGTCGTGTTTCTGATGAAATTAAGGGCAGAAAAGCTGTCATGAGCGGCTCACGATGCAAGTTCAGCCTGCCCAAGACTTCACTTTTTTTTTTCTTAAATTTTTATTAGTGAAACACCATGAGGTACAGTTGTGGACTTACAAGTTCTTGTGCTTGGGTTGCAGTTATACAATGATCGAATACCCATCCCTCCACCCGTGCCCATTCTCCACCACCACTGATCCCAGTATCCTTCCCACTACTCATCCCCTCCATCCCCCCTGCCTCTGTGGCAGGGCATTCCCTTTTGTTCTTTCTCTCCTTTTGGGTGCTGTGGTTTGCAAAAGAGGTATTGAGTGGCAATCATGTTCACTAGCAGTTCTTAAGGGAAAAAGGGCGGGTGCTTCAGATCCTGGTTCGATGGCATGAGCTCTTCCAACCATCTTCCTCTCTTTTGCCAATGCCACCTTGTGACCTGCACTGCGTTCAAGATTTTCCTACCGGGACCCGATCGCGGATGGAAGCTATCAAAGCATCGGCAGCCCAGTGTGGGAGGCTGCAACTGGAGCTTCTTCAACAGGGGCTACCTATCCCCTGATTCACCCGTCAGCCTCACAACGGCTGACCTTGGGACGCAAGGATGAGCGCCCCGGCTCGGGGCAGCCAGACACGCCGCCGCTCCGAGGTCAGCTGGCCAGCTTTCTCTCTCTCTGAAGCCACGGCTCCCACGCCACGTGGGTGACGTCCCTTCTCCCGCGCGCGGCTCCGCAGCGCGGGGGGTCTCCAATGGGGCCGAGCAGCTGAGGGCGTGTCTCCAGTCAGGCTCCCTCGGGGATGCGGCGCTGACACGCTCCAGCAGCCCAAGGTCCCCAACCAGGTCACCTGAAGGAACGAACCTTCAGTCCCGTCATCTGGGGGGCTCCCAGGCCAACGGGATTTCTGCTGCCCTCCCTCATCTGGGTCAGAGATTTCCTTCCAGGGGGCTCTGACCAACGGCTCCCCCACACACATCCCGACTCGTTCGGAACGATCCTCTCAATTCAGTGTAAACGACTGGAGGAAAGGGGGGTCTCGAGGCTTCCGGGGTCCCGCGTGTGTGTGTGTGTGTGTGTGTGTGTGTGTGTGTGTGTGGGAGGCGCCTGGCCGAGGCTCCCTCGCTGGGGAACGCGGGGAAAACGGCTCAAGAAAAAAAGCAAGCCACAAAAAAACGAGGACAGCGGAGCCGTGGGCGCGCGTGGGTCGGGGCTGGGGGGTCTTGCTGGCGCAGGAGGATCGCCCCCGTCTCTTGCCGCGGCGACCCGCATCCCCCGGAGCCTCGGCGCGGCGCCTTCCCCGCGAGCGAGCGTCAGGCCCGCAGCCCTCCCTCGGGCGCCGGGGCCGGCGCTCCCGGCGAAGCCCACTCCCGGGCCCAGGCCGCCGTCGTCGCCGCCGCCCGCCAGGGCCACCGAGCCGGCGCGCCGGAGCCATGGCAACGGGCGCGCGGAGGCGCCGGGTGGGCCGACGGCGGCCACGGCGCTCCCTCCCCCTCCTTCTCCCCCCCCCCGACGCCGGCGCCTGGGCGCGCCGCGGATGACGTCACGCAGCTGGGGGTGACGTCACGACCGTGACTCGCGGGTGACGCCGTGGCCGCGGCGGCGACTCCTCGTCGTCTCCGCCCCCCGCCCCCCGCCGCGCGCGTCCTTTTTTTTTTCTTCTTTTTTCTTTTTTTCTTTCCTTCTCTTCCCCTCTCGCCCCCCCCCCCGCCCCAGGCGCTCGCCCCCTGCTCCCCCCTCCCCCACACGCGGTCTCTCCTCAGGCTCGGCCGCCCGAGCGGCAGCCGCGCTCCTCCTGAGGTGGCCGGGCCCGCCCGCCCGTCCGTCTGTCCGTCCGTCCGTCCGTCCGCGCGCCGGCGCCGCCCCCCGCCCCCGCCTCCCTCCCTCCCCCCCCCCGCGCGCCCGCCCTTCCCCTCCCCCCTCCCGCCCCCCCCACCCTCCCCCCACCCCCCCCGCCCCGGCGCCTAGCGGCGGCCGCCCGGGCCCGGCTCGCGGTTATAAGATGGCGGCGCTGAGCGGCGGCGGCGGCGGCGGCGGCGCGGAGCAGGGCCCGGCGCTCTTCAACGGGGACATGGAGCCCGAGGCGGCGGGCGCGGGCGGCGCGGCGGCGGCGGCGGCCGGCGACCCCGCCATCCCCGAGGAGGTGAGTGGCGGGCGCGGGAGAGGCCGCCCCGCAAGCCCGCGCCCCGCGGTCCCCCTCCGTCACGCGGCGGCTCGCGACGTAAACACACACACACACACACACACACACACACACACGGCGGCCACCGGCCGGCCGCGGGGGGGGCCGAGACCCTCGGCGCGGGGGAGGGGGGTCTCGTTACTTCGCGTGGGTGAAGGGCGTGGGGGGGTCCCTTTCCCCCCGGGAGGGGGCGGTCGGAGGCCGCGGGGGGCACTCGGTGGAGGTCTCGGGCGGGAGGCAGCCAGCGCCCGCGCCGGGACCCCCGAGCCCGGCGTGTGTGTGTGTGTGTGTGTGTAGGGGGGGTGAGGGGAGCTCCGGTGGGTCGCGGCGGTGATGGGGCGCCGCTGTCCCCCCGCGCGTCGCCTGCCCGCCCCCCCCCCTTGCCCAGGCCGCTGCCCACTTGCCGACTTGTTTCGGGGTGGGGGGGCCCGGCCGTTCCCCTTCACCTGTTCCTCGCGGCCGAGGATGGCGGGGGGGGGGGCCTTGCTGTTTCTGCTCTTTCGACCCCCCCCCCCAGCCCACCGTTTCGGCGCCTTTCCATCCGCATCGCGGCCCCTCCCCCTGACCCTCATATTTGTCAGAGCCGCGAGGCTGACAGCGACACCTCCCTCCCCCCCCATCCCTATCCCCAGCCCGGTCCCCGGCGTCGCCCCCTCTTCTCAGCCAGTGCGGGGGTGGGGGGGACCTGCCGACCTCTCCAGACCGTCCCGGCCCTCGCCTTGGCGTCCTCCATCCCGGAGACCCTCTCCCGCGGGCCCTCTCCTTCTCCACCCCCCCCGCCCCCTCCCCCCGACCCTCCCGACGTTGGCATCGTGCAGCGCCTGCAAACCCGGGGGTCGCGGGGACCCGACTCTGCTGCTACCCCGCGTCCCCACCGCACTGTCCACGCCGCGCGGCTGGAGCTTTGGGGGTTGATTTTCCATTGTGCGCTTTATGCCTCCTTACTCATTCCTGCCCACTGTATATACATAGGAGGTGGATGTATATAACATATATGTATGTATGTATATATATACACACACATATATATAGCCTTGATTGATCTCTTTCTATTGTCCTCCTTTTTTGTCCCAGTTTCTGTTCTTTGACTTCTCTTCCTTCTTAGGACTTGGAAGTCCTGGCGGTTCTCAAGCCCCGTTTTGACAGTGTACTGCCTTCTTGTCATTTGTGTCCCTTGCATTTGAATTTGTGTGTGTGTGTGTGTGTGTAAATGTTACCACATTTACATAAAATATTGCACTGTATTAGACTTCACAGAGGAGATATTACATGGTATGATAACTGTGCTCTGCGATGATTGGTTAGATAACCTGAGCGGTTCTTGTTGACTTTGCTCAAAGTTCTCTTTCCTTCCCAGTGCTGATGTGCATGGTTTCCCCGCTGGCCCGAGACTCCTCTGGCTCTGCAAGCCTCTCTGCCGCTTTATGAAATCTTTCCTTTGGAAATCCATGTGATGTGCATTTTTCTCATACCGGCTCCTTTCCCTCACACTAATTCTTGTTTTTCCCTCTGTCCGAGATGGGTTGTTGTCTGCCGTCATGTGACTTCATCTCACTTTCTCGAATTTTTTTCGAACTCTTAACAGAATCACGTCACTTACTTTCCAGGTTGCCCCTATGTTAAGATCATTTTCTTGCAGCATCTGTCTGTTGTTTCCCCCACCTTGGATTCTGAGGGGCGAGCTGCTCCTTCCCTTCTTGCATTTCCTAGTTGATTCTGGTTTCCTGGTCCCTTTGGTTCCCAGTTACCTCCGGGTCACTCTGCCTTGTTGCTGACTTTGGGTACTTCCACTTGCCAAGAAGCTTCCCCTTGTCTTCCCCGCACCTCCACATTCCTTCTTATTTATAAACAGCTTTGTTCCGTTGACATGGAAATTTATTTTTAGGATACATTGTTTCTAATGGATAAATACTAGGGGTCACATCTGCTGTCTGTTTTTTCCATGAATCGGATATGCCTTTGTCTCACCAGGCACAGGTGCCTCTAGGCTTGGCTTTGCTCTCTAGTGCATGTGTCGTTTTGTTGAATTGTATGGTTGTTTGAAGGCTGTTGCAGAGTAGAGAGTGACAAAATTAGTGAGTGTGGGTTATGAAAATGTGCCTGATTATAACACTGTTTGCGTTGAGAACTTTGTTTCAGAGTTGTTGGAACAGTTTGTAATGGTTTAGAGACTGCTTTTGTTAAATATTATCGGTTACTTTATTTGAAAAGGCCAGATTATTTGAGCTTTGCCCCCTGAGGTTTTTGATTCAGTAGGTGAGAATTTTGATTCACTAGGGCCATGCGTTTTCTATATTTGGCACACTTCCTGGGCAGTTCTCAAGTATCATTGCTTGAGAACCTCTAGGCTAGATGAATTTAATTTTAAATTGCCAATAATTAGAAAGCATATTCCTCTCTTCTGAAACTATAAGGATATTATTACTTTTAACTAATTTTAGAAAGTGTTTCCCACTGCCGCCTCCACCAGGTTTTAATTTAGTGATGAATAGTAATTTCTCTATATTTTCTTATAGGAGCTGATGATGAATATCTTTGAGGAAGGAGGGGCATAAAGTGAATAAAAAAGCATCAGTTTTAAATGTCAGTTCCAAGAAATAGCTTTCTTTGAGATTGGTGTTGTTAAATTGGGTTAAATCTAAAGCGTACTGTCTTGTCTTCTTGTTGTTGTTTTGGGGCTACACCTGCAGATGCTCAGGGCATCCTCCTGGCTCAGCCCTCAAGGATCACTCTTCGTTCTGCATTCAGAGAACAATCTGGGGTGCTGGAAATGAACCCACGTTGGCGGATGCAAGGGTTTACTCACTGTTCTGGCCCTGTGGTCCTCTAATGAACTGGCTTCCTTATATGAACTTAAAAGAGATGATTTATAATCATCAAGTGCGTGGAAAGAAATGAAAATTTGTGCTTATATGATGCTCTAAAGTGGAATTATCTTAACCTGACAATAAAATGCAGGTTTTAGAAAAACATTGTCAAGAGGGAAATTTCAGCTTCACTAAAAAATTGTCATTAGAGAAAAAGCACATTAATTATTGAAAAATTAGAAAGTACAAATGTTAAAAAATTAAAATGCATAAACGTTTTAAACATTTTACCATCTGTACAATCCTCCAGCCCCGCAGAAAAGTATGAACAGTAACACTATTAGAACCATGTTGCTTCAACTACAGTAAAACAAAAAATATTTTAAAATGTGTATAGTATAATATATATTTGGTGTTTTCAGATCAAATCTGGACCTTTTGCATGCTTTGCGTGTGCTTTGCCCATGAGCTAGTTATGTGGCCCAGTTGAACATAGACTGTAGGGCTTAGATTTTTAAATTATAATGGGAATTGAACAAATGTCCTATCCTGTATTTGTAGGTATTATTTTGTAGATGGTTAAAATAGAACATTCTAGTAAATGAGAAGGGTTTTATTAAATATTTATCAAGTGAATGCGCTTATATTTTTGGCGTTAAACGTTTACTTTAGATCATTTACATCTTCTCAGTGTTACTTTCTTCCATGTGGTTAAATATGGGATAATATGACCATATGGCGTAATAAATGCATTTTATTTTAAAATATGTGTTATAGCAGGGTGTGATATTTATAAATTATTCCCTCGCTGTGTTTCTGTAGAAGGGGACTTCCAGCAATTGCATTGCAATTAAAGCTGTGTTCTGTTTTTAAGATCATATTGCCAATCTTAATTAGGCAATGTAATTGCAATGTGTAGACTAGGCATTTTCTGTAATGGACTCTCCTTTATGATGGGGTCCGCCGTATTAAGGACATCTTTGTGAACCATGCCAGGTTTGGCATACATCTTTCTTTAAATAAGGGGTATTTGCACTAAGGAATGTGCTGTGTTCTGGCTTTTTGCTTTTAATACTTGTCGAGATTTATTTGAAGTTGGAAAAAAAAAAAGTCTTGGTCAAAACTATGAAATACCTGTATGTAACCAGTATTTCTAATGTTCCTTTTCTGTCTCCTTTCTCTTACCTCATTTAATTAGCTTGTTTCTTTAGGTATCCACACATCTTTAATTTTAAAAAAGTTACCTGTGATCAGTCACTTAATATATGTAGTGACTTTTAAGGGAATCAGTTGTTAGTTAACAAGAAATAAATGTTGAGGGGAACGAAACTTGAATCTGTGAATGTAGTAAATCTGAAGCAAACCTTATTTCATTCTAGTTGGACGGTAAGCCAGAAAAGTTGTTGGTGGCAAAGTGTAGAGAAAACTGGCATCTCCGATTCCTTGTCCCTTGCTTTCTCCATTATGATGAGTAGGAAACTGATCTGGTTCTAACAGCTGGAAAACTGTTCTGTGAGTCAGGGAAGAGAGGGAACAGCCTACATTGTTATCATATTTTCATTTTGCAAGACCTAATGCTCACCTTGTGAAGAGTTAGGCAAGTTCTTAATATTCTCCCTCACTTCCATCATAAAATTACAAAATTGCAAAAGTATATTTGATTTTTTGACACCTTGAAACAACTTTAGAGGTTAGCAAATTAATTTATGATTTTATTGTCATATCATAGTTTATACTGTTATTGAAGCTTTAACAGATAATTTTGTGTGATAATTTTGTAATGAAATGTAGTGTGTTCCAGGCCGGAACAGTAGCACAGAGAGTCGGGCGTTAGCCTTGCGCACGGTCAACCCAGGTTCAATCCCTGGCATCCCATAGGTCCCCCATCACTGCCAGGAGTAATTCCTGAGTGAAGAACCAGGAGTAACCCCTGAGCATCGCTGGGTGTAACCCAAAAAGCAAAAAAGACAAAAAAAGCAAAAAAGGAAAAAATAGTATGTTTTTATGCTTTCTATATGTTTATCTCAAATTGTTACTTAAAAAAGTGGATTTTACAAGTAGATCTTCTTGGATGTTGTCTTCCACAGAAGTTGAACTGGGGGCTGGAGAGATAGCACAGCGGGTAGGGCGTTTGCCTTGCACGCAGCCGACCCG